GACCCCTACAGCAACACTTATAACGAGGGGTGGCGCCAGCATCATAACTTTTCTTGGGCTGGGGCAAATCCCAAACCACCAGCTCCCCAGGGACCACCTAGCTTCCAGAGGCCTCCGTACCAGCCCAGATAGGGGCAATTTCAGCAGCCACAGCAGCCACTCTACCAGCCCAGACAGGGGCCAGTTCCACCTCATTCACAGGTGCAACCATTTCAGCAGACAGGGGCAGCACCTGCAGCTCCAGTACAGAGTGACCCGATGGCAGAATTGAGAGATTTGGTGGGTTCTCTGGCCACCTCCAGTGCGAACAAGTTCAATAACATCGAGCAATTCATGGAGAAAGCTTCAGGCAAATTCTTGGAGCTAGAAGCTGGTCAGAGAAATACACAGGCTGTGCTGCGAGATATACAGACCCAACTTGTGAGTGTTGCCCAGGCTGTAGCTCAGAGGACTCCTGGTACCTTGCCTGGTCAGACCATTCCTCACCCGCAGGATCTGAATGCCAACTGCGGTGCCATCACAACCCGGAGTGGCAAGGTGACTGCCGATCCACCTGTTCGGGCAGAGGAGAGATATACCCCTGCTTCAGCACTTCCAGCTAATCAGGAAGAAATGGAGAAGGAGGTTCAGGTGCCTGCTCCTAAACCGCAACCAGTGGTGAAGGAGTATGTACCACAGCTTCCCTTTCCTACTCGGTTGCACAAGGACCGACTGGAGACTGAGTTTGCCAAATTCATGGCAATGCTGAAGCAGGTAAACATTAGCATGCCCTTCGTGGAGGCATTATCGAAGATGCCCAAGTATGCCAAGTTCATGAAGGATCTCCTCACCAACAAGAGGAAGCTTGGGGAGCTGTCAATGGTGATGCTCAACGAAGAGTGTTCTGCCATCCTGCAGAACAAACTACCAGAGAAGCGAAAAGACCCAGGGAGTTTCACTATCCCTTGCATGATTGGTAGTTTGCATGTAGGGAAGTCCTTGGCGGATTTAGGCGCTAGCATAAATGTCATGCCTTATAAACTGTTTAAAAAGCTAGGCCTAGGTGAACCCAGTGATACTCGGATGAGCATCCAGCTTGCTGATAGATCCATTGTGCATCCTAGGGGTATAGCAGAGGACTTGATAGTTGCAGTAGGGCCATTTTCATATCCTGTTGATTTTGTGATTTTGGACATAAATGAGAATGTTGATGTGCCATTGATACTGGGTAGACCTTTTCTCGCCACCGCCAAGGCGCTTATTGATGTTAATGATGGAAAACTGATTTTGAGAGCTGGGGGTGAACAAATCACCTTCTCTGTTTATGATAATATGAAACACCCCCAGCTCCATGATGATCTAGATTACTGTGATGTTATTGCTGATTTTGAGACCGCACTCGCCATCACGAGTGCGGGTACTGATGATTTCCTTGAGCGTTGTCTTTTGCTAGGGAAACAGGCATCACAGGATGTGCAGCTGGCAGAGCTGGACGAGGCCATGATCGAGGGGCGAGAGATACCATTCAAGCTGATCCCCATCTCGCCCCGGCTCGCTACATCATTGGAGGAGCCACCAGAGTTGGAGTTTAAGCCCCTCCCATCTCACCTGGAGTATGCATTTCTCCGGGAGGGGAATAAGCTCCCGGTTATTATTAGCTCGGATCTGACACCCGAGCAGAAGAGCAAGCTGGTGGCTCTGCTGCAGAAGTATGCCCGGGCCATGGCATGGAAGATCACAAACATCAGAGGCATTAGCCCATCCTTCTGCTCCCACAGAATTATAATGGAGGATGAGGTTAAGCCAGTCAGGCAGCCACAGAGGAGATTGTCTACTAACTTGGAGGCAGTGGTCCGGGCAGAGATTGTGAAGCTCATGGATGCAGGGATCATCTTTGCTATATCTGATAGCAAGTGGGTCAGCCCCACTCAGGTGGTCCCAAAGAAAGGCGGGATGACTGTGGTCCCGAATGAGAAGAAGGAGTTGATCCCGATGCGGACCGTGACTGGCTGGAGAGTCTGCATCGATTACCGGCGCCTGAACGACGCCACCAGGAAAGATCATTTTCCCCTGCCTTTCATTGATCAGATGCTGGAGAGGTTGGCTGGGCATGAGTTTTACTGCTTCCTGGATGGCATGTCTGGTTACTTTCAGATTCCTATTGCTCCGGAGGATCAGGCGAAGACCACATTCACTTGCCCCTTCGGTACCTTTGCTTACAGGAGGATTCCATTTGGGCTGTGTAATGCACCGGCGACCTTCCAGAGATGCATGCTGGCGATCTTCGACCGACTGGTTGGAGAGATCATGGAAGTCTTCATGGATGACTTCTCGGTTTATGGAGACTCCTTCTCTCATTGTCTCCATAACCTGGAACTCGTTCTGAAGAGGTGTGAAGAGACGAATCTGGCACTAAGCTGGGAGAAGTGCCATTTTATGGTTCGTGAGGGTATTGTGCTCGGGCACAAGATCTCCAAGCAGGGGATTGAGGTGGATCGCGCGAAGATTGAGACGATCAGTCAGCTACCTCCTCCTGTTTCTGTGAAGGGGATTTGCAGCTTTCTAGGTCATGCAGGCTTCTACCGGCGCTTCTCAAAGATTTCTCGAAGATTGCCCAGCCTTTGACCAAGCTGCTAGAGAAGGATGCACCATTCCAGTTCACTCCCGAGTGCACAGCTGCATTTGAGACTCTGAAGGAGAAGCTGACCCATGCCCCTATCATGGTAACTCCTGACTGGTCTCTCCCTTTTGAGCTGATGTGCGATGCGAGTGACTATGCAGTCGGAGCAGTTCTGGGTCAGAGACGCGAGAAGCACTTCCAGCCCATCTACTACGCGTCGAAGACCTTGAACGATGCACAGGAGAACTACACCACCACTGAGAAGGAGCTCCTCGCTGTGGTGTATGCATTTGACAAGTTCCAGCCATATTTGGTGCTCTCACAAGTGGTGGTCTACACAGATCACTCGGCGATTCGTTACTTGATGAGCAAGGCTGATGCAAAGCCTCGGCTCATCCGCTGGATCCTGCTTCTGCAGGAATTCGACATAGGGATCCGGGACAAGAAAGGAGCCGAGAATGTTGCTGCAGATCATCTTTCACGGTTGGAAACCCCTCCGGTGGACAACTTCGTGGAAGAGATCGATGACTCCTTCCCGGGTGAGCGATTGCTGGCGATGACACTGGTGGACAGTGTGACCCCGTGGTATTCTGACTTTGCCAATTATCTGGTGGGCAAGCAGTTACCCAAGGGGATGGCTACTCATGCAAAGCGCAAGTTCTTCTCCGATCTGAAGCATTACTTCTGGGAGGATCCTTACCTCTTCAGAATCAGAGCAGACGGCGTGATCCGGCGCTGTGTCATGGAGCACGAGATGGGAGACATCCTGTCTCAATACCACGAGGGACCTACTGGAGGTCACCATGGAGGTAACCGCACGGCGCGGAAGGTGCTACAGTCGGTCTTCTAATGGCCCTCGCTCTTCAAGGATGCAGACTCCTTCGCACGCCAGTGCGACCGCTGCCAAAGGTCAGGTAACATTTCTTCCCGGGATGAGATGCCCCAACATATCTCTGTTATTTGTGAAATTTTTGATGTTTGGGGTATCGATTTCATGGGCCCATTCCCTCCATCTTTTGGCAATCTCTACATATTGGTTGCAGTAGACTACGTCTCGAGGTGGGCAGAAGCTCAGGCCATGCCCACCAATGATGCAAGAAGAGTCTGCTCATTTCTGAAGCAGCTGTTCTCCCGGTTCGGGACACCCCGCGCCATCATTAGTGATAGAGGAACCCATTTTCAAGGGCAATTCACTAAACTCCTCTCTCGCTATGGTGTTAAGCATCAGGTGTCGGTGGCCTACCATCCCCAGTCAAATGGGCAGGCCGAGCTGACGAACCGGGAGCTAAAACGAATTATTGAAAAGACGGTGGATCAGTCCCGCAAGGATTGGTCCACCAAGCTCGATTATGCTCTTAGGGCGTATAGGACTGCCTATAAAAATCCGATTGGCACTTCTCCCTATAGGCTTGTCTATGGGAAGGCGTGTCATTTGCCGGTAGAGCTAGAGCACAAGGCCTTCTGGGCCATTAAGCTACTAAACCTGGATTTGAGTGTTGCAGGTACAGAACGTAAGTTGCAGCTGCTGGAGTTGGAGGAGTGGCGTTACCACGCCTACGAGAACACCCTGCTCTACAAAGAGCGCACCAAGCGTCTCCACGACGCAAGGTTAAGAGGCCCGAAGGAGTTTCAGGTAGGTGATCGTGTTCTACTCTTCAATGCACGCCTGAAACTCTTTCCGGGCAAGCTCCGTTCGAGGTGGTCGGGACCCTTCACGGTCACCCAAGTTTTCCCGCACGGTGCGGTGGAGATCAGCAATGCTCAAACCGAGCCATTCAAGGTGAATGGCCACCTCCTAAAGTTGTATTTGGGAGGTGCTGTCGAGCGCGCAGAGCTGCTGATCAAGCTCGAGGACCCTTAGTTCCTCTACTGGCGTCCAGCTAAAAGACGGTAAAGAAGCGCTTGTGGGGAGGCAACCCCACCACGGTTTGCATTTCTACCCTTTGTTCTTATTTATTTGTTTCATTTTTGTCGGTTTTTTAGGCTTTGAGTTTGTCTGGAGTCAGTCTGGAAAGTTTTTCGTGCCTCGGGCGGGTCTGTTTAATGTGTGATTGGGTAAATTTTAGAGCCGGGGCACGAACGAATCTTGGTGGTTTGCGATTGAAAATTGAAAAAATGCATTTTAGGCTCGGCAGTAAAAACACGGGCAGCAGGGGGCCAAAACACGGCCGTGTTTTGCCTTTTGCCCTCGGCATAAAAAGCACGGGCACGGGCCCTTCGAAAACACGGCCATGTTTTGCAAGGAGCCCGCCCGTGTTTTAATAAGAAGGAAATTCCGCCTCGGCAGTGAAAACACGGGCGCGGAGCAGGCCGAACACGGCCGTGTTCTGCCACGCCCGTGTTTCGCCCCCCCCCCCCCCCCCCCCCATAAAATCGATTTTTCCGCCCCAAACCCCTTCAGATCAGTTTTTTTTTTCAAATTCACCAGCCCCCTCTCGCCGGAAAATCGCCCCTTTCACCTTCTCCTTCGATTTTTCGGCCGTAACTTCCTCTCCCGACCTCCAAATCACAAACCGCGAGTGCCCCCACGCTTCTGGCGTCGAGGAGCACATTCCCCAAAGATTAGGGCTGGTTTGGCTGAGGTTGGGTCGCCGGCGGTGAGTTTTCCGGCGAGTCTCCGGTGTGTTTTCCAGCGACTTTGGGTGCTTCTTTCCACTTTCTCCACCTCTCTCGTGGTCTCTTCTTGCGTCTCCAGGTGTGTTCTCCTTGTCTTTTCCTATATTTATGGAGAATCGATACCTAGAGTTAGGTGAAGAACTTTTGATTGTGGAATGCATGGTTTGGGAATATTTTGGGTTTGGGGGATGATTGGGCTGCTTGCATGTTGAATGGTCTGCGTGATATGTGATTTTTCTGTGATGCCTCGATTGGTGCTATTTAGGACAGTTGTGGTATGCTTGTTTCACCGGGGGCCTAGTCCACTGTCCGAATCGCTCGATTTGAGGGTCCCCGGTGTATTTTGCTGTGTAAATCTCGTATGATGGGTATGTTTGTGTCGCCGGGAGTCTAGTCCACTGTCCATATCTTTCGATATGAGGGCTCCCGGTGTGGTTTTGGCCTAACATTGACCCCGTTTGCTTGTGTACACTTTGTCCTTCATTGTGTTTTGCAGGATCATGGAGGTTTATCTCGACCAGATAAACATCGTCCAGCGCCATAAGCTGCGGAACCTCCGTGACCGCAGCATTGCCGAGCACTTTCACCTCGATTGGGAGGTGTTCGAGGAGCTTCATGCCAGGCCACAGATGGAGGCAGCGGTTCGCTCCCCTGCTTTGCGGCGTCTTCTCACCCTCGCCGAGCCGACCTACAAGGAGCTAGTCTGGGAGTTCTACGCCACCTTCCACCACAACTCGAAGGGGAACTCCGACCATGCTGATGCAGTTCAGTTCACCCTCGGCGGGGTGGAGCACTCCCTCAGTTACTGGGAGTTCGCCAATGCACTTCGTCTCAATTCCCGGGCAGCGGGCGGGCCTCCTCTCCGCTTGGATCTCTCTGATCCCATGGAATTCGCTTCCCAGGCGTACTTTCCGAGCATTTGCCTGCCGGACAGTGTGGATGAAGAGTATGTGGCCAGCCAGACGCGGGCTGCTCTCCTCCGTCCGGAGTGGCGGATCCTCAACCACCTGATGTGCACTTCTTACACACCCAGCCAGGGCTCGTCCAACCGGGTCACACTCCGGACTCTCTGGTTGTTGCATGCGATGCGTCGTTCTAAGGACACCATCCAGCTGGGCTCTGTGCTTGCCCGGACGTTCATTAAGGCAGCCATCAGCACGACTCGCAGCCTCGTTTGTGGCCCGGTGATCACCGCCTTGGCCTGCAACTACGGGGTGGACTACACAGGGATGACATTGGTCCGCGGACCAACCCCACTCGGCGAGCCTACTCTCCGCCACCAGCACTTGGTTTCTCGCCTCGGGCGTGTGCGCTGGATCGCGGGCCTTCCTCAGCCACCTATACCTGCAGAGGGCGACCAGGCCGAGTCGAGCGCCGCTGGTGGGCGCCGAGTTCCCCGTCGCGTTCCCCGTCGTGCCCAGGCTCCCTCGAGCCCCTCTCCTGCTCCCCGGTCTCCTTCTCCAGGGTCACCTCCTCCAGTGGTGGTGCCCATCTCCGACCAGTTGGTGGCGATCACGCAGCAGAATGAGCGCATCCTGGCCGGCCAGGAGCGCATCCACACCCGCCTTGATCGTGAGCGGGACCGAGGGCGTCGTCTCATGTCGGGGCAGCACTACATCATGTCCTACTTGGGCTTGGACCCGAACGCGGTCCACTACCCGTTCGTGCAGTCCCCAGGGTTTGAGGATGAGTACCCTCCACCCACCTGCGATGGCGGTGATGCCTTCTAGAGCGGGTTTTGTGCTTTATTTGTGTTCCAGACTCAGACTCCGTGTTTTGTGATTTCGTTTTGTTTTTTTTTTTATCTTGGATTGTAGACTTGGTACTCTGATTTCTATCACCCAGTGTGTGTGTTTTTGTTGTCTCTAGCTCTATGCCCCCTTCTTTTGACTGGTCCGCCTTCCAGTAAACGTTCCTGCCACTGTTTCACGGTAACAACGTTCCCCTTCCCTCTGCTGCATTGAGGACATTGTTGCGTTTAAGTGTGGGGGGGGGGTTCTTTGTATGAATTGGAACGTATATAGATGTGCTTGGAGCCTAGTCCACTGTCCAAATCTTGAGATTTGAGGGCTCCAAGCACGGCTGTTTGCTTGATGATTGATCGTATTGGCACTGTGGATGTGATTAGTGAACTGAATGGCTTTTGACTTGATACATGACAACTTGAGTGTGACTTAGACAACTTATTGTGATGACTGAGATGTGCAGTAGAATTGTGTAGGGTTCAGTTTTTCAATTGTCTGCTCACCAAATGTGACTTGGTTCGATCACTTGCTTTTGACAGTCATTTATGCATCTAGTTCAGGGAATCAGAACGAGAGATAGAGCATATAGGTAGCCATGTGAGATTTGAGCCTGCTCGTTTCTTTCTTGTGCGATAGTTCCCTCTTCCATGATGTGGCCCCCTATGTTGGTTGCTCCTTTCCCCTTTTAATAATAATAAGGTAAGGAATTAAAGCCCAGCAGCATTCACGTTGTCATTAGCTAAGATGATGGAGGCATAGGATTAGCCCACGACCAAATTGACTGTCCTGGTGTGTCATACCCCTAGTCAGCCCCTTTGAGCCGTGTGTTTTCTTTCTTTCGGTCTTCAATGAAAAGTCACCTTTTTGCATCTTTTAGAAGGTTCCACAGAGTGATTTTTTCTTGTTCTCTGCTGTTTCTGCTAAATGTAATATGAGGGTTGGAGGTAGTGCTTAAAAGTTGGGCAGGTGTTTGACAATGTGCAGAGGCGGTGGTTCTCTTATGAAATGAAAAATAATGAAAGAAAATCAAAGAAAAAAATTGAAAGCAAAAGAGAGTCACCACCAAAAATCTGAATAATGCCCATGTAGTAGTGTTTCTTAGCAGTCTGGCTTAGAAATACTAGCATTTATGTAACCTCCTTCGCCCTTGTGCTCTGAACTTGAGTAATGCAGAATAGCAGAAAGAAAGTTTGGTTGGATTGATTGTGAGTCTGTTGGGTTTGGAAATGTGGAACCTTGTGCTGTATGAATACTTGCACCACCTAAAAGGCCTTTTCCCCATGTCCAAGACCCTAGCCAGTCATCTGAACCTGTGTCTAAGACCTCCGGATTAGTTAGTGATGACACCCCATATGTGAACTCTAGCACTTAGAGGCTGCATTCATGATGAAGAGATGTTAGGGATTGAGAGATTAAGCATGCGCATTTTTCGCATCATATTGTCCTGACCTCACTGGTCGAGAGTGAGCGATTCATTTTCTCTTATTCTCTATACTCTTTATCTCGGTGAGGACCTAGATTGCTCGGTCTTAATTCTGATATCTTGAACTTTGTGCATGACGTGACTATTTTGAACAAGTGGTTGAATCAAGTCTATGTTGGTTGGTGAACAGAAGGGAGACTCTTCCTTTGTTCGATTTTACTGCATTCGAATGTCATCTGTGGTGGTTGTCTAGGTTGTCATTGAGGTTGTCCATGTGTTAATGATCGAAAGCCAGTATGATCCACGTGTTTTGTGCCGATATGTCATGCCTTGTTGTTATGAGCTTACCTTGTGTCTGACTTGGTTTGCTTGGGGACAAGCAAACGGTTAAGTGTGGGGGAATTTGATAACGATGTAATTGCACATATTTGCGCCCCTAGTTCTTATGCGTTTGAGGGGCATAGTCGTGTGCTTTTGGCCTATTTTACGCCGGGTTGCTATTTTGTCATATTTCAGGTCCCAGGCGTCAAAGGAAAGGCTAAGCACGAGTTTCGGGGCATTTGGAAGTCATTTCGTCGAGCTGGAGCCAAAACACGGGCAGACCTAAAACAGAACACGGCCGTGTTCTGTGGCCGTGCTTTTACTGCCGAGAGCAAATTCGAGTTTGGCAAACATTGGCTAAAAACACGGGCAGGGCTTAGACAAAGCACGGCCGTGGCCACCAAAGCACGGTCGTGTCCATCATCAAACACGCCCGTGTTTCGCCCAATGCACTGGCCGTGTAATTAACCCTAGCCAAAGCACGGGCGGGCTGAGGCATTACACGGCCGTGCCCTCGACCGTGCTTTGGCCACTGATGCCCTTTTAAGCATATTTTCAGCCAAAGAGAAGGGGAATGGGATTTCTTGAGCAAAAACAGAGCCCTAGAGAGAGAAAGGACGAAGAACACATCCTAGAAGCTATCTTGGAGCTGGGTTTCATCAAATCAAGCTTGGAGATCATCATAGGAGTGGAAATCATCATCCCAGAGCAGATTCTTCCCATAATTATGAGTAAGGCTGCTTTGTATCTTGTTTTCCTCTCTCTCTCTATGGAGTAGAACCTCTCTCTCACTTGGGGATGAAGAACCCTAGTTCTATGTGTTATGGATTGATTGTAATGACTTGGGATGATATTACTGTTTGATTTTAATCGAATGATGCATGTTTATTGAGTCAATTGAAGTCTGATCAACTTTTCCTGATTCCTGCTGCAATCTGAGATAGATAGAATCTGATTAGGTTGCTAGAGTCTCATCATTCGGTAGTAGGAGATTGGCTATACGAGAGTTAGCCAGTTTACTGCTTTGTACTGGAATCCAATTCCAGTAGTGGAGTTCTGTTCTTACTTCTTCAGCTTTCTATCCCGGTGAAGACTAGTCGTCTGCCGGGTAGTTAGACTGAGAGGGCTTGGTCAGCTTAAGAGATTCCAAGCTACTGTCGGATCTTCCGCAGTCTAATCAACAGTAAATCAACCCAGGGAAATACAATTGAAACCTAACTAAGGAGCTAGGGGGACTCATTCCCGAGTGACTCTCGCCTGCTTGAGAAAACCGTACCAATTCCTGCTTTCTTTCTGCTTTTGCTTTTAAAACAACAATCACTTACTTTAGTTGGCTAGATAATAGATAATCACTGAGTAAGCAATAGATCTAGACCCCGGGTTGATAATATCACTTGTCCCTTTACTGCATTCCCGGTCTGCGATTACACTTGGTCGCAAATTGGTGTTGTGTTTTAGAGCATCAGAAAGGTAGCGGAGAGTGACCAAACTTGAACCATTTAACTAATTTGAGTAACCAAGATTGCATTTAAATATTTCCGATGACCAAAATTGAACCTTTTTTTATAATCTCAGTGACCAACCATGCAATCAACCCTTTTATAAATAGAAACATAAAATATTTTTAATTTTTTTATGCAAAATCAAAAATATCTCATTAAGCACCGGCTATCATCAGAAAAAACCTGATGTGCCTCTCAAACCAGTACAAACATATAGTATGTGACTCGCACGAAACTACACCACAATTAAACCCCAATTAGAGCCCAAGTTTTTAAACTCTAATCGTGTGCAAGTATAGGGCAAGTCCCGGTCCGGTCCGTCTACCCTTACTTCGGTTGTTGAAATCGTTATCTAGCGATAAAACTTTGGTTTAAAGGTTTGCCAATTGAAATGAAAGAAAGAAAAAATAATTTGGTTTGAAAACTCTTTTGTGGGAAAGTCACTTGGGTTGCGCTTCCCCCCTAACCACTACCATGCTACGTGGGTTGGAACGACTGCCTTGGGCACGTTAATAATGAACCGCTGAGGAAAGCGTATGTGGTCGGAGACCAAAGTCTCGATTGATAAACCGAGGTGAGGATGAAAGGTCGTGTCACTCGACCCTCTCAGTTTAGACAATCGGTAATCGGCTTACTTCCTCACTCAACTCTAAAGTCGGACGGTTTAACCTTGATTAATCGACTTGTTCAATTCAATATTGAGGATTGCCCTAACTCAACCTAGTTTAGGTGGCTTGGAAAGCGTAAGGAAAACCAACTCGATTGAGTCTCCCTTAAAAAATGGGATTTTCCTCTCTGAACTAAGCTAAGTTGGCAAATTAGATTTCTAGCACCTAAATGCACAAACTTAGGGGTGCTAAGCACAATTATGCACAATCCCTAGGATGCTAAGCACAAAATACGCACAACCCCTAATTTGCTAAGCACAAGCATGCAAAATCATGGTGAAATATACCTCAAACATTAAATTGAACAATACCCAATATCAATCATCCAAACCACATACAAGAAAACTACATGGTAGAGTTTAGGGTTTCACTACACCCAAGTGAAAGGAGGACTACTCCATGGAAGAAGTGGGAAGAACAAAGGGGGAAAGGTGGGAACCATTTTTGGGGGATGCCTCCTCTCTTCTTGACCCTCGAGCTGGAATTTCCTTGGGGAAATCTTCCCAAAACCTCCTTTGAAACCAAGCCGTAACTCTTCTTCTCTTTGGTTCTGTTTCTCTCACTAAAATGCAGAAGAAGGTGTTTCTCTCATAGAAGTGGCTCTCCCCTCTCTCCTCCTTGCAGCTCAGCTTTTAAACACGATAAGAGCTGAGTTCACGGCCTGAGTTCACGGCCGTGAACCATCAAACACATCCGTGAACTCACGACTTGCGCCAAAATGCTCCGCATTGATCACGGCAGTTCACGGGCAACTGCTTGTGTTCACGGTCTTAGTGACTGTGAACTCGCCTTGCGTCGGTAACCTTCAACTTGGCTTTGGACACCTTGCGCTTCACGGTCAACTCCACTTCTTCACAGACTTGCACGACCGTGAACTTGCACCTTTTCACCTCTTCTCCCGGTTTTTGATCCTTTTCGCCAATCCTTCGAATCCGAGGTTGGTTCCACCTGTTAAATCCTGAAAAGCACTCAAACACGAAGAACCTCGCGTAAAACCAACCTTTAATGAGCGAATTTGGCACAAACTTCTAAGCAAACTGGGGGCAAAATATGTGGAATTGGGCCCGACGGATAATCAACTGGCGTATATAGAAAGAAGAAAACTCCAACTATAACCTATCAATATGTTCCAACTCTAACTTGATTTCGGTGAGTAGATAGACAACGGATAATCAACTGGCGTTGATTTTTCTCGATGTTTTTTGCATAATTCAGGACTTACACTTCAAGAGATTTTTTAGGAAGGGTGAGCTCCGCGATGGACTATATTACTTGCGCTTGTTTGGGAGTGGATGAATGCAAGCTTGTGCGGTTCGGCGAAGAGAATCGGCGTTGGAGATAAATTGGCACGCACGCTTGGGACATGAGATCGGAAGCAAATTGTGCGAAGGCTTCTAATTCGACGAACTGTGCCAATTCCAACTTTAATTTACTAGCTACCTGTCTATTTGCCGGGCTGCCCCCTAAACCCGAGGTCATTATAGATGCTATACCAAAACTTCGTAAAATACTATCTCACAAAATTTATGAAGATCAAATTAAGCCTCAACAGGGGAATCGGTGTTTTACTACCAAACACAAATTTCATATTGGCCGCACTACTCATACTGGAAGAAATATGATGGAGAGTTGGCCGAAATGAGCACTAAATACTTTTCGAGCAATCTCCTCCAATTCACTGGTATGGCTATCGAAATCGTGAGCATCAGCATGTAGGTTCCATATCCAAGTAGTAGTATCAGGTCCTTTAGCTATTGTTCTTGAGAAATGACCAGGTCTGGCCCATGTCTTAAAGTAATGATGAAGAACACATTAAAATATGCCGATTCGGTCTGGGCATACTATATGTAAATTTTACACCATTACTGATTTAACGACAATGATAAAAAAGAAGAATAATGCCATTCTATTTCGACAAAAGACCCCACCCAAGTTCCATAGCTTTGGGTCCGTTATCCCGATCACGATTTTCCTACCTCCAGAGGGAAAACACCAAATCCCTATAAAGCCCAAACCTCCCTTTCTTCTACCCGTTGACACCCTTGCTTGGCCCTTCCTCTAAGAGGTTGTTGTGTAACAAGTTCATAATGCTCGCTGGAACATCCATGTATTTTATCATCAACTTGATGAATTAACTTTAACAAGCTACACCAAGTAAAAAGTGTAGAAAAATTAGCTCAGAAGGACCACCATTATATAACCATTCATCAACAGATGTTGCTTCCCATATTGGGTAAAAGTGCAAACCTATTCGGACAAGCAGTCTTATATTAGTCGATTATTATTAGTTAATTTTTGGCCAAGTATTGGTCCATTGTCATTCCTGTTTAAGGGCGAAATAGTCGTGTGTTCCCTTTTCATCTAGTAATATTAAGACTACTAGAAGTTTCAAACTTATTCATGTTGATCTTTTGGAAGGATATAAGGTGGCATCGTTGAGTGGTGCACACTATTTTTTGACAACCGTGGATGATTTCACTAGTGGAGTTTGGGTATATTTTTGTGTTATAAGTCAGATGTTGCCGAGCATTTACTTCGGTTTTGTGAGATGGTGCAGACTCGATTTGGAGTCACTGTCCAACGAAGTCAAGGTGACAGTGGTCACGAATTCAATACAGAAGTTCTGCGTGAGTACTATGCGCAAGAAGGTATTTTACTTCAGACATCTTGCACCGATAATCTGCAACAGAATGGAGTAGTCGAGAGGAAACACTGACATATCCTCGATACAGCCAAAGCATTGTGCTTCCAAACCAATCTACCTATACGGTTTTGGGGCGAGTATGTTTTAACGGCTGTTTATCTCATCAACAGGCTGCCTACTACGATAACAAAAAAATACGTCGTTCGAGCTCTTGTTCGTACGGGCAGCATCGTATCACCACCTACGAGTGTTTGGATGCTTGGTTTACTACAAATATACTCATGCCCATCTCGATAAGTTTGGGGAGCGTGGGCAGACATGTATTTTCTTAGGCTATGCGACAAGTCAACGAGGATATCTCATATATGATCTGAACACTCAGCGCTTTGTCACATGATACGCCCCTGGGGGTGTATTTTATCAAAGTCACGCAGCTAACGACTTCTTCGATTAAGCTCGAATCAAGAACGAAGCGTTCTTAATACGAACTTGGATAAAACGGAACCAAAAGGACGATTCCACACCTGGGGAACGCTCGATTGGTATAGAATGGTAGTTGCTCGACCATGATTGAAGTGACTATTCAATCGATACACAAGCTCAGCAAGTTTGGAATCCACCAAACCCAAAACAAGTCGCAACTTGCACTAACCAAACGGTTTCGATTTCTATTCAACAAAGTCTGAATTTTTACAACGAAAATATAAGAGTATTTAAAGGCAAATAAACCTAATACAAACCTAGATGAACAAGGAAACTAATTAGAACAGGATAGGCTAAAGAATTCGAGTAAAACAAGGTAACTTGCTGGCCAAGAAATTTACTTAAAACGCAAGCAAGTCTGCCTAGGAAAACAGGCTTCATAGCATCTTTGAGCCCTTTGAAAATGGTCTTCTAGGTTGATTCGAATTCAACCAATTCCTTGCCTTTGTATAAGAAAACTTCCTATTTCACCTCCAACTTGAATCAGCCCAAGATCATTCTCCAATATCCAGATATAGGCCTTCAAAGTTGGTATATCAAAACAGTTTTCTGCCTTAGCCAAATTTAGGCAGTTTTCCTGTTTTGAGGTAGCTTTTTGATGGGCTTTGAAAGTGACCTTCCAGACATCTCCTTGAGCTCCAAAATATACCAATGTAAACATAATAACATTATCTTCAAAAAAAGCTCTTGATCTTCCATTTTGATTGAGCCATGTGTGAGATACAAGCTTCCAAAGTAGGCTACCTGAAACTGTTTCAACACAACCAAAAATCAGAATTATTCATTTGAGTTGAGATGACTTCTTTGGCAAGTAATTTTGAATTGTGGATTGATCCAATTGGGTTCATATCAGGCTCTCCCTCTTCAAAAAGATTTGACCTCAAAGCTTGAAGCTGCTTCTTGTCAAAAACGTCACAAAATTGATCTCAAATTGGATCGAAAGAGGTCTGCCCAAACACACTTTGCGGCAATAAATTTTGAACTTTAAATTCTTCTCCAGCCTGTAAATTGGCCTCTGTTCTCCACGATTTGAGCTTCATTAGATTTGTAGGGCTCCAATGGACCTTACCCACACAAAAATTTGGCTCAATCGAACCGAGAACACTTTGCCTTAATTTTCCAGAATCCAGCGGGCAATTTCCAGATTCCGGCGAACTTGTGTTTGCCGGCGACACCTTCGAATTTGGAAATTTCTTGTCATCGGCACCTCGGTCCAATTCGTTGCTTGCAATAGCCTCTAATGTCTCCCAAGAGTCCATCCCACCTTCTCCCATGCTTCGAAATCGTTCAATTCGTCTCCAATGACCAGCCCCGACTTTCCCGCCAACAAAAAGGTTCAAATTTCCAGAATCCGACAACCAAAACCCAGATTCCGACGAGCCACGATTCAAATTAGGGGTTTTTTATCTTGACATTTCTGAAACGAATTGTTCACTCACACAACTTCCTTGGACTTCCACGAGCTTATCCACGTCCTCCAATATCTTCGAATCACCCTCAATCTCTCTAATCGAACGATTCTTTTCTCCTCCAAATTTTCGGCCATGAAAATCCGAATTGGGTATTTTTGATTGATGCTTCTTGGGGACGAATTGAGGCCTCCGACACGTTCCATGGAACTCCAGAAATCGAACCCAATTGCTAGCTTGCGTCGAATCCTCTCCAAACTCCGCAACCAATTCGCCTCCCACTTGCTCGCTGTTCGTCGCGTTTGGGATCAAAAAACCCAGATTGGGCGTTTTTTATTCAGGTCTCTTCGGCTTAAATCGATCGACATTAAAGCGTTTGGGGGCGGATTTCAATGATTCTGCAATGTCCGTTGGTGTCAATTCGTGCGCCATCGTGTTACCCAATAAGCTCCCTTCTTCGACTCCGTTTGACGAAAACAGAGGGGAAATTTCGGATGCATAATCCTCCAATGCAGGCAGTTTCAGTTCGATCGAGCGTGTTTTTAACAATTCTGGGGTCTTTTCGTATGATTCTGTACCATTTTTGCAAGTCGAAGCTTCCCCAGCTGGCTTGCCCACGAGAGCCTGGTCACTGTTCTGTTTCTTTGACGTCGGACAACTTGGCGACGTATTCATCAACGGCTCGATTCGAGCAAATTCAGGAATCCCCGACGCTCCAACTCCACTGGTCGACAGTCCTATACCTTCGAAGAAGACTTTTTCACTCTCCAACTGGCTCGATCCTTCCTTTAACTCCTCTAGTTCGTCTGCCTTCTCGAGATTCGATTTTACTGGCGCAAAACAGAGTTCCTTCCGGGCAGAACAGGGGTTGTTATGTGAAGTAGATTCCGACGAGAATTCTTCCTTCTGAGGCTTCCTAAAGCTCATGAAATTGAACCCAACTCGTCGTTGAACCCACAACTGAGCTTGAACACTTTTTCCCTCGTTCCTATTCTCCTCCATATGTTTTAAATCGGCAAAAACTGCATCGGGGGACATAGGCTTCAATTTGATCTTCTTGCCCTCATGTTTAAACGTATACGAATTCTCCCAGCCATCGTGGATGACCCTTCTGTCGAATTTCCAGGGACGACCAAGCAATACGTGAGCTTTATGCTTTGGTACAACGTCACAAACCACTTCATCTTCATAGCTGCCGAGTTTAAAACGAACCAAAGCTCGTTTCGTCACATTGAGCGTTCCGTGTTCGTTGATCCAGCTGAGGCTATATGGTTGAGGATGCTTCTGTGTCGTCAATCCGAGCTTCTTGACAGCGTCAAAGATGACGAGGTTTGCACAGCTGCCTCCATCGATTACTAGAGACACCAATTTTTCGTCCACGAAACACCGGCTATGAAACAGGTTGTCCCGCTGTTCGTCGGACTCTCTATGCTTGATGACGACTGCTGGAGACTTCTCTATGCCACAAAATCGAGCCTGCTGCTCCTCCTTACTGCCCTCTACCAACTCCTTTGCTCGAAGGGAGTTTTCCATTGCAATTTCTCACGAAGCAGCAGCTGCAAAACTTAAACAGGGGCTGTCCTGTTTTGGAACTCGAGAATCTGCTTGTACGAAACAGTAGGTTCTTCTTCTCCTTCGCCCTTGTGTAGAACCAGGCTCTGATACCACTTAATACGCCCCTGGGGGGTCTATTTTATCAAAGTCACGCAGCTAACGACTTCTTCGATTGAGCTCGAATCAAGAACGAAGCGTTCTTAATACGAACTTGGATAAAACGGAACCAAAAGGACGATTCCACACCTGGGGAACGCTCGATTGGTATAGAATGGTAGTTGCTCGACCATGATTGAAGTGACTATTCAATCGATACACAAGCTCAGCAAGTTTGGAATCCACCAAACCCAAAACAAGTCGCAACTTGCACAAACCAAACGGTTTCGATTTCTATTCAACAAAGTCTGAATTTTTACAACGAAAATAGAAGAGTATTTAAAGGAAAATAAACCTAATACAAACCTAGATGAACAAGGAAACTAATTAGAACAGGATAGGCTAAAGAATTCTAGTAAAACAAGGTAACTTGCTGGCCAATAAATTTACTTAAAACGCAAGCAAGTCTGCCTAGGAAAACAGGCTTCATAGCATCTTTGAGCCCTTCAAAAATGGTCTTCTAGGTTGATTCGAATTCAACCAATTCCTTGCCTTTGTATAAGAAAACTTCCTATTTCACCTCCAACTTGAATCAGCCCAAGATCATTCTCCAATCTCCAGATATAGGCCTTCAAAGTTGGTATCTCAAAACAGTTTTCTGCCTTAGCCAAATTTAGGCAGTTTTCCTGTTTTGAGGTAGCTTTTTGATGGGCTTTGAAAGTGACCTTCCAGACATCTCCTTGAACTCCAAAATATACCAATGTAAACATATTAACATTATCTTCCAAACAAGCTCTTGATCTTCCATTTTGATTGAGCCATGTGTGAGATACAAGCTTCCAAAGTAGGCTACCTGAAACTGTTTCAACACTTAGCCAAAAATCAGAATTCTTCATGTGAGTTGAGATGACGTCTTTGGCAAGTAATTTTGAATTGTGGATTGATCCAACTGGGATCATATCATCACATCCCGCGATGTTGAATTCCACGAACAGGCATTTCCTTTTCAGGCTGGTGTTCGACAGTTTCTGCAATGGGTGCCACGGCCAGCATTAGAAGCCTCTGAAGAATTTATAGCGGGGGAGGAGAACACCTCACTGGAACCCATCTCTCTTGTTTCTCTCGACAATGGTGTGCAGGCCGAGTTGACTATTCACATTATTTTCTTTACTAGATACAACGTTTTATCCATAGTAATGTGTTCATTGCATCCAGAATCAATCAACCATTCAGAGTCATAAGAAATAATACCTACCATGTGAGCCGCAGGATCATGGTCCTCCATCGTTTTACCAGGAAAACCAAAGAACTGCTTGAATTGATTCAATTGTCCGATCGTGAAACCCGCGACTGGACTCTGATCTAAGTCTACTTGAGATGCCTTAGGCTTGCGACTGGAGCCATCCCTCAGATCATCGCCCGAGTTGCGGGGTCGGCACCTTGGTTTCTCTCCTCTTTGTCGCTCATTACTTTGTTGATCACGCGGAGGGTATCCTATCAGCTCCCATCATTTTTCTTTGAGGTGCCCGAGCTTATTGCAGTGAGTATAACGAGGCCGATCACGTTGCTCCCTCGTTTCGCGAGCAGCCCAATCCAATTTGCTTTGAGCAACAAAGGCAGTAGCTTCCGGCTGAGACTTACGATTTTGGGAGATCAATTCAAGCGCGTCATTGGTTTCATAGCCAAGACTTGAGTGCTGATAGCACCGAAAACAGCTTCATCAAGCCCCATGAGGAAGTCGAAGACGCGCACGCTGTCTTGTTGTGCGCGCACTCGTTAGGAGACATCGCACGTGCAATTGGGTAGGGGCATGATCGCGAAAACCTCCTCCCATAAGGACTTCAAACAAGTGTAGAAAGTAGAGACATACTTCTTTTCTTGTTGGAGAAGAGAGATGAGGCGGCACAATTCATAGGCGCGGGAGGAGCTGCCATGGCCGAACCGCTCCTGGAGATCAGACCAGATCGCTCGAGCAGTATCAGTAAAATATGGCAATAAAGTAAAGACGACTTGGTTTAACATGATTCTTCCTCATACAACAATTATCTAGGGTAGCATAAGCATTAGGAGAAGTCTCCTCGTTGGCATAGGAGCCGACGTGAGCTGCCCATGCAGTGGGTGAATGCATGGCAGTCTCGGCCATGCCATCTGGGCCCAACTAGTCAACTCGCCCAACAGTAACTGAAGGACAGGATCTCCAGAAACTCAATATAAAATATCTACTTTAACCAGCTTCACCAACTCCCACGGATTCTTGATTGATTGTATCTCATACATCCGGGTACATCGCTCACATGACTAAGAGCTAAACTCCAAATCAACCAGCATAAGTTCTAACTTGGTTTCTTCATTCACCACTGCTGCACACACCAAGACACTATACTTTCCCATTCTCCTGAAGTAGGCAACACACATCGTGTAAGAACAAGAGACAAGAAGGTGATCTCGATTCTCAACCCCGCCTGGACACAATATAAGCACATCTCCGACACTGGTTTACCCCAAGATAGTAGCTTGTCTTGGGTAACAAGTCTATCACGCATTGCTAACCAGAGAATAAAATCATGTCGAGCTATAATCTCTTTTGCCAACACAAGTTTCCACCAACTAACTTCCTGCGAATTTATTTAGTTTTCCTTATTTTATAAATTTTCTTTTTCTACTCCTTTTAGTTATTTTCTTATGCTTTCTACTTATGATAAAAATAAAAATAAAGTATTTAATAAATGATGGACAATATGGTCATCTTCCACCCCATATAATAGTTAGCTAACAAATTTCGGATGGAAATGTATATTTGTTACATTATAATAGTAAATGACTACATTTGAGCAAAATAAAATAGTGGAGTGGTGTATTTATGAAGTTGTAATAGTACATGAATATAGGGGTGGCAGTTCGGTTATTTCGGTTATAACAGATAACCGATTGGCCGGTTATCGGTTAACCGAAATAATCACACCCCCTACCGAAAACCGCCTGAAATAGGCTTTGGTATATCGGTTATCTCGGTTATCGATTAACCGAACCACTTTTAAGACCAAAAACCATTTCGTCCAGCCTCCGATAACCGACCGAAGTTCGGTTAGTTCGATTATCGGGTAGTGAATAACCGACCGATTATCGATTTAACCGGCTGGTTAACTGGTAACCGAACGACCACCCCTACATGAATATAACTCAGTATTTAATATTCACAGAATATGAGTCAAATTGATCAGCGAATAAAAATCATTACACTATCTTTGGGTCTTATTTCTTACGACTACCTCCACCAGCTCTGTAACTACTGTAAAACCTTTGTAGACAATTTGGAGTTAGAAAGAGAGGATTTCTTGGCCCACGAGGCGGCATGCAGCTGCCTGCCGACTTGCTAGGTAGGGTTTCTGTGGGCATGAAGATGAAGTGAACGTGAAGCTGCCACGAAAACATACATGTGTGTGCTAACTAAACTATCACATGGTACGTACATAACATAATAATATATATATACTGTTCTTGAGGCCGAGAGGCAGGCATGTTTTCCAGCAGTTTCACATGCATACATGCTCTTTTCTTTGATGTGGCTATGTATGTGTTGCTCCGGTTTAATCGTGATTCAATTGTTCCATACAGTTAACATTGTTTATTAATTTAGACTTAAATAGGTGATTTTTTCGATTGTACTGTTGAATATTGATACAATACACTTTAACAAACCGTTATTTAAATGTGATTAAGACACAATCTCAACTCCATTATTATGATTCAGATTTACGGTGCAATCTCAAATACTTGGAGGTATCAAGTATTTGGAAACTCACTCTACAAAAGTGGGCTGGCATAGTTTTTTAAAAACTTTAATTACATGCAATACACCGATTAAAACTTGAGACTTATTCGGATAGGAAAAATCGAATTCCAAACAATAGGCATTTATAACAGTATGATAATGACAAACCACGATTTTAATACCCTATAACATTGATTTTTCAATATAAATTTCGATGCACATTCACAATCCTTGCTGAGACAAATAATACCAATTTATAAATACACCGAACCAGAGAGCAACCACGTAAATTGATCCTAATCAACGATTATCAGGGCAACGTGTTGCATTCCATCCACCAGAAGACCACTCAGATAATTAAACAAGCAAATAAAATAATGGAATATCACTCACCCAACAATAATAATGCAACTCCCATAAAACTGGAAACCCTACCACCATTCCCCCTCAATAATTCCCCCTAACTCTTGCTAAAAGCCTAAAAGTATGTTTAGCAGTTGCTTAATTAATTATTGAGGGGAGCTGTAGGACCGATTCTAATCCCACCTTACTAATATCTATCTAACTAAAGGTTAAGCTAATTGCTGCATCATCATGATGATGTGTTCCACAATGACTACTCAAATTAATTGCTTAATCCAAGAGTACAGATTCTTCGTTTTATTGATACATACAAGATTGGAATTTTGAATGCAAGATTTTTCGGTCAATGAATGTTTTATTCATTGTACGACGAAAGAGTGATCTGTTTTAATAGTTCAAGAACTTGAAAGAGGTTTCTGAGTGAATCGTATATTACGAATCGACATATCTTTCACATAAAAGCATCCTCTTGTACTTAAAGTTTGCGTCATTTTCATAGTATTTGCTATAATAAATTGTTAACTATGTTGAGACTCTTCCAAAATTTGAGCGTTAAGACTTTAAAATTAGTATCATGCAGGAAAAGTGATTTAATCAATGATTATTAAATCGTTATATGTCAACGAGTGGATCATAAAATCGCATATTGCAATCAATGTTGGTACGGTACAACAGATATTAGGGGGAAAAGTATGCTAGCCGGCTTTGTGTAGTTAAAATAGCACGCAAGTACCAGCCGGGTTTTTGTTCTATTACACTAATATTGTGCTAGTTGTATTTTAATAACGATATCTAATTGCTATGTTATTGGTTGAACCATGATTGTAGCACTACAATATCATTCTGTTAACTTATAGGATATAATTTTCATTACAATTTTACGAATCATGAATTGAATAGAACATTATACTCGCTCGAAAATTATACAATTGTATCTTATTATGCCATCCCCATTTCCCAACGCTCCTCGTGAATATTTATATTTTCACAAGTTAAAGAACATTTCATCTAAAGCATTTAATTCTCATAGACCTATTGTGTCATCACTGTCATGTGCATAGAACTCAACCAAGTACAAATTAAAAAAAAAAAAAAAAACTCATACATCAAGTAAAGAGGAAAGCATAAACTAGAGTATTTCACACAATCACAATTGTTTGCTGACTTAAGCGTTGAAGTTTCAGCAAAATAAGATCTCCCAAGTTCCAACTGATCTTGTTTTGCAAGTAAGAAGAGAAAAAGTGAACAAGAGAATGAAAGAGGCCTTGTCGAAGACACGAAATTAATTACAACTCATTCCCTAGTGATCCACCTAAACCATTCATTCAAACGGGGAATTAGAATTCAACAACATGAGTTGTAGTCGAAAAGGCAAAATTGGATTTCAACTCCAAAGAGCTAGGTTAGCTGTTGGTTTATGTTGGTTCTTGTTTGACTATAAATGAAAACCTCATAGCAAAAATGATAACCTGTTAAGCAAATAAGTGCTTCTTTAGGTGCTTCAGGTTGAGGGTTTAATGCGAATGAGTGAGTAGTCCAACCGTAACACCGCGTGGTCAAGTCCTTGTGCCTACTCCATCAAGTCCTAGAGCTGAGCTTGTTTGCGACATCACCAAATTAAAGTGACAACTGAAGATAAGAATTTTCCGTCATAAAGGGTTTTAATCACAGTGATTAGATACTCCCTCATATAGAAGAGCAAATTGAATGGCATTTCAATCATTTTGTTCGTTGGTGCAAAAGAAATTATTTCAACTAGATCCAAGCCTAGTCACTCATGATATAGCCTTGGAATTGATATAAGGCCATAGTTAGAGGGAATGTCACTTTCCTTAAGAGTACTCGTCTCGTCTCCAACCAGCCACCTGCCACAAAAAGAGCTTTGGCACAGTAGCACCACCAATCCCCCAATATTACCATGCCATACACAAGAAGATGATACGTACAAATATACATCCAAAATGGCAATATCAATCACATGGCCTTGTGGGAGAGCGGTGAAGACAAAACACTATCAAAATCCAACAAAAACCCATAAGACTTAAGAGCAGCCCCCCAAACAGCCATTCCTAGCCATTTAAAACACCTATTGGTGGGACTTATGAGATTATATGTGGTGAAGAAAATCTACCATTTCCTCCCCCTACCCCAATCCATTACACACCATATAACAACACACTTTTTGGCAAACAGCAAAAACCCACTTCCTAACTTCCTGCGCCTCCTCCTCCAAACTTCATGCAACTTTCATTTCCTATCTAGCTTTGCTTCAAACTCCACCTAATCATCTCTACCGCGAGTATTAGTACATCGTTAACGCGTAACTCGAAAAAGGAACAGATTCTCGAGCTGCGTGTTTGCTCAACATGGTATTTTCGAGTTCATATGCTTAGCACTTCAATCAACCCAATTAGATGCAAGCAGATGAACATGTCTAGTAGTGTTTGTGAAAGCAAATTTTTGGTTTCAGGTCCTGGTAGCCGAGCATGGGGAGGGAGATGGCGGTGGAGATGGAGCAGTGGATTTCAGAGGAAACCCTGTGGACAAGTCCAAAACTGGAGGCTGGCTTGCTTCTGCCCTCATTCTAGGTGCTCCTTCCTTCCTTCCTTCTCATAACTACTCATTGGAGAGAGCAAATGAACAATCCATGAACGAAAGTTGTTTGCTTTTCTCTGTTATTCTTCTTCAGGAACTGAGCTGTCCGAGAGGATATGTGTGATGGGGATATCGATGAACTTGGTGACTTACTTGGTCGGAGATTTGCACATCTCGTCCGCGAAATCGGCCACCATTGTCACCAACTTCATGGGAACTCTCAACCTCCTCGGCTTGCTCGGTGGCTTCTTGGCCGATGCCAAGCTCGGCCGCTACTTGACTGTTGCCATCTTTGCCTCCATCACAGCTTTGGTAAGCTTGTTTTACTACTTTTAACTACCCTTTGGAAAATTAACTTACAAAGCATCATTCATAGCGATCTTAAGGAAAAGTTTCTCGGAAGAAAAATAGACCAACCATAGATAAGCCATGACGTAATATCATACACCGAAATCTACAAGTATCGGTGTATGCATAAGGGAAAACTCGCTCACTTCATACTCAAAAAGTCATATATTAAGCATCATTAGTCGTAAATCATAATGATTCTTCTTAATTATATCGTACTTGTACACTAAAACAAAGGTAATGAGTCAACTTCTTCTATATGTATACCTTAATAAAAAAATGTTAATTACCAACATTAACATACAAATAGAAGTAGAAGACAAAAAAGGTTGCCAATATTAGCCAGTAAACTAATCCCCTCCCCTGTTTTTATCCTCTGTTTTCCCCAGGGTGTCACTCTGCTAACACTAGCAACATCAATCCCAACCATGAGGCCACCAGTATGCGATGAAGCCCGTCGGCAGCACCACGAATGCATCGAGGCGAGCGGCCGCCAGCTCGCGCTCCTCTACGCCGCGCTCTACACGACAGCACTCGGCGGAGGAGGGATCAAGTCCAACGTCTCAGGTTTCGGTTCGGACCAGTTCGATGCAACGGACCCCAAGGAAGAAAAATCCATGATCTTCTTCTTCAACAGGTTCTACTTCTGCATCAGCATTGGCTCCCTCTTCGCGGTGATCGTCCTGGTTTACATTCAGGACAACGTCGGAAGAGGGTGGGGCTACGGCATCTCTGCCGCGACCATGGTGATCGGAGTGATTGTGCTGGTATGTGGAACAAAATTGTACAGGTACAAGAAGCCTAAAGGAAGCCCTGTTACTGTAATTTCAAGAGTTGTGTTCTTGGCCTGGAAGAAGAGGAAGTTGGATTACCCTTCTCATCCCAGTTTGTTGAATGGGTACCATAGTGCCAGAGAAGTTCAGCACACGGAGAAGTTCAAGTGCCTAGACAAGGCAGCCATTGTCGACGAAAAGGCAGGGGAAGACAGGAATGATCCATGGACGGTATCCAAAATCATGGAGGTGGAGGAGATCAAGATGGTTATCAAGCTTATACCCATTTGGTCGACCTGCATCATGTTCTGGACAGTCTACTCTCAAATGACAACGTTCACGGTCGAGCAGGCCACATTCATGAACCGAAAACTCGGGTCGATCAATGTCCCTGCAGGGTCCTTCTCCACATTCCTCTTCATCACAATCCTCCTCTTCACATCCCTCAACGAGAAGATCTTCGTGCCAATCGGACGAAAGCTTACCCACAACCCGCAGGGACTCACGAGCCTGCAGAGGATCGGGATAGGACTCTTGTTCTCGATCGTAGCCATGGTTGCAGCTGCCGTGATCGAGAAGGAAAGGAGGGAGAGAGGTGTTGGCGAGAACGCGGTTATGATAAGTGCATTCTGGCTTGTGCCTCAGTACTTCTTGGTGGGAGCTGGGGAAGCTTTTGCTTATGTGGGGCAGCTCGAGTTCTTCATCAGGGAGGCACCCGAGAAGATGAAATCGATGAGCACGGGGCTGTTTCTGAGCACGATTTCGATGGGGTTCTTCGTCAGTAGTCTGTTGGTTTCCATCGTCGATAAGGTGACGAAGAAGGTCTGGTTGAGAAGCAACTTGAATTATGGGATGTTGAATAACTTCTACTGGTTGCTTGCGGTTCTGGGGGCGCTGAATTTCGTGGTGTTCCTTATTTTCTCGAGCAGGCATCAGTATAAAGTGAGGAACCAACAAGTGAATGGTGACGAATCTGAGATGAAGGAGACGACCAAGGTAACAGAGAGTTTCAGTACTCTTGAAGTGGAGTAGAAAGGGGAGAGCTTGTAAGGAAATGGCAGGCATTTCAGTGTTAGCAATCTCAGGCAAAAGTTAGGCTTAGTTCATATGTGTATTTGTTAGTATTCAAGCAAACCTTGAACCAATGGTCTTGCGATCTATTCCCACCTTAAACCAATTCTTTTCCTTGTCTGCCACTCTTCCTTTGTCAGTGTGTTTTTTTACTGTACCATACGAAGACCCAGTATAAAGACTTTGTCAGTGTGTTTGCTTAAACGATATACTATGGCGTTTATATGCTTCTTGTCCTTGTTAGGGACAGAGGAATTTCAAACACATATTGAACGTGAGTTTACAAGAAAGTATTGATTAGGCTAAGTGAATTCCACTAACAATGAATTCAGATCAAATTTTGATGACACTTGTAAATTGTAATGGATACAAATATAGGTTTCAACCAAGGAAGCCAGATGGATGAATGAAGTTTGCAGAATGGTTTGACAAGAACCATCCAGTATGAGAATAACATCAACCCCTTTTTTTTCTTAAAACTTCTAGAGCAATCTCCAATAATTGTAGTTAGTAGGGGTGGAACATGGAAACGATTAACAACTTCTTGAGAACAAACAATGCATGTTTCTGGAAGTTCGAAAAAAGCTACTAGGCATTTTGCATAGCTGGTACAACTTTGGAAGAAGAACCAAGCAAATTGCTGTCTCGCACCAAAACTAGAGCTGACATCTAAAGAACATCGTAAGAACATGATATAAAAGGGTCTATGAGGAAGAGCTACTTGCAGCGATTGGAGGAGAGTGCCCGACAACCACCGGAGGGCGAACAGATTTGTGGTTAGCGAGATTCTGCTTACGAGCATTGTACATCTCCTCAGTCTCAATCACAATCAGCCTCTTTACCTGGATCCAGAGAACAGAAACCATGACAAAATAGTACATTTGGAGGTATGGGGTGCTAGAACAGTTTATGGTGAGATCATCACCTGGTTAAGCATTCCTCTAATGGAAGAACAATTGGCCCGTGTTACAGTTCGGTTGCACTTGGTGAGATTCAATGCCTCCAGGGTGCGCCTATGGAGTCTCCTGGTCCCAGGAATCCCTCTCACCAGAGTTATGTACAGCCGCGGACTCCATGCGATTGGGACTTGTGCTTTGAAGGCCTTGAAACCATTCATTTCCTTTCAGTTTCCTTTCCTTTCCTTTTTCACTTTCTGAAAGCAAAGGTTGATAAATAACAATGTCATGTTTCAATCATGAAGCATAACCAATTCATTCGAGGGGCTTAGATTGGTCATAGAAACTAAAAGCCTGGTCCAATTTATCATAGTGTACAATTTCTACATTAATGATTAAGACAAGTTTGAATACAATCAAACTTTTATAATCACACCGCCTCAAGCCTATTGCAAATATCCCCCATCTTAACCATCTAGCTGCCCGAAAGATTGGCTGCACACTCTTAAGCCCGCAAGTTGCTGCAACTTGTTGCAAATAAATTCAGAGAGCGCGGGTAAAACCGGAAGCCCCAGAGAGGGGAAAGCAGCAGAAGTAGCCAATCCAAATATTTAGCAAACTCACATCACTGAAGATATGCAGCATCTCAATGAGCTGCTTGGATTCATGGCAAAGTGTGAATCACTAACCATCCATATGCAGAAATGAAAACAAAATCATCATTATAATGTTTCTTCAGCCATGGAAAACCTTGCAAATTCCAAGGAACCGCATTTCCTATGCTAAACAGAACTACGGATCCACACACCATCTCAGCAAAACTGCAGGCTCTAACATTGTTATTAAGATTAACAAACTACAGATGGTAGATAACCGACCATAAGCGAATCGTGACAACAAAAATAAGTCTTGGGCCAACACAGTGCATATATATCAAGACCCCAACTCGAATCGTCTTCAGACATTCGAAAAGCAATATCAGGTACCGCATAATGAACGCTGCACACAATTTTTTTCCATGTCTTAAACCCTATTGGGATGCTTATGCTGAACCAGTTCAGGAAGCAATGATTATATAGCAACTCACTCTCTCATCCATCCCCTTATACATCAACCAACTAAAGACCCCAAAATCTGGCAAATCAACAGGAGATTTGACAACAAAGCAATTTACTGCTAAGAATTAATAGCTTACATAATTCAAATCTCCTAGTTCGCGAACAGAGCATAAACAAGGAATGCTTGATTGGGATTCTGAGGAAAAGGGTTTAAGGAAAAGTGCAGCCGGGACAAAACCCTCTAGATTCTAAGGTTTAGCGATATAAAATGTAGAGAAAAGTACTGACCTTTGTCAACAAAACGTGACGGAGGAGGTAAATTGATCAGTACAGCGATCGATTCAAGAACCAGAAGAAGAAGAGAGAGAGAGAGTGAAGAAAGGCCGAATAGAGGGGGAAAAAGAGACGAGAAGGGTTTTTGCTTTGCAGATGAATCGTCGTTCACTCCAAACACAATTACATTCCAGTACCTAAACTCATATATCACTACACCCCAGCCCTTTGCTCTCCGCTGTCGTCTGCTGCAGCAGAACTCCGACCGACGCCGCCACCAATGGCTGCAAACTCTGCAACTAATTTCTCTTGGGACGGATAAAAGAGCCACTAATAGAACCCGGCCCATCTCTCGGTAAGCCCAATAACCTGAAAGCCCAAATAGCGCCAGCCCAACCCAAAAACGGTTGAATCCCTTGCCTGAAATTTCCTCTGACCTACATTGTTTGTCGGGAAGGGAAAAACAAAAACGTTTCCATTCAGCTCAGTTCGACTACGATGCGCAGAACTCTGTCCTCCATTGCCGGAAGAGCTTTCGCAACAGTTCATAGCCCCGAGTGTCCACCTGGTCCCAACAGTAAACTATTCGTTGCAGGTTTTTCTTCTCTTCCCTATTGTTATTTTATAGAAATTTTACAATGCTATATAATATTAGTGTTGTAGGTTTTTGCCTTTATGGTCTAACTTAAAATTGTACATTTAAGTTATGGTACAACTTCATATTATACTTTTTTACAAATTCTTTTATGGTACAACTTGAATTTGTACCTGTTTACACTAAAAAATCATCGTGTACCGCATTGATTATTTACAAGGCATTTACTGTCTTTATAAGGCCAGATCAATAATAACAATTAATGTTATTTAAACTGGGCCTACGATACTAGATTTTTAAACCCAAACGATCAGGCTTGACATGACGCGTGAGAATAAACTAAGTCTGGTGCCTCATCGCGACAAGCCTCTTCAAGTCAAGTTGGTAGACCGCCTTGTCGCGACAAACCGCCTTGTCTAAACCACATCGTGAGTCTACAAGATACGTGGGGAGAAGGTCACAAGATAAACGAAGTTCGAGCGCCAAGCCTCCTCGCGTCAAGCCACTTCGCGAGTTCGCCAGGCCACCTCGTCGCAAGTCCGCCAAGCCTCTACTAAGTCCAAGCGCCAAGCCTCCTCGCGTAAAGTTTGGTAGACCGCCTCGTCGCGACAAGCCTCCTCGCGCCAAGTTTGGTAAACCACCTCGTAGCATTGTCATCATGTTTAACAAACCACCTCGTCGCGAGATCTGGAATAGCCATGGTAAAGGAAAGGGCAAGTAACAAGACAACAGTTTCAAAACGTAGAGCCAATGGTTTGATTGAGAAACTTTCAATTACTCCACGTTCAAGGACACGTCAGCCACGTCCGGGAAAGAAGGGAAGCGGTTTCTTTTTGGAAGTTACTCTCCAGACAGTTTTCTACGACGGTTATCACCTCAAGCAGTGGCGGAGCTGTTCATAAGGCTGGGGGGTGCTAGCAGCCCCCTTGGAATTTGTGGTATCGAACCCTCTAAAGTGCCAAGCAACAGTCGCTTGCTTCACCATTTCAGTTGGTTAAGATTTTGATTGTATACTGGACTTTTACTTATGAAAAAGTGGTTCAAAAATTTAAACCTGCAACTGAAAGTGTCCCAAGAATTGTAAAACCAAATTTGTTTCATAAAACCGTACTAGAGGTTGTACCGAAAACGTCAATAATATAGTATTTTGTGCTGAAAATCTAAAATATTGATTTAATTGTGGTTCAAACATTTCATACCCCTAAATAAAATCGCCTGCAAGTTTAGACTCTAGTAGAAGATTTTACTGTCGTATCTCCAATAAATTACATTTCACAAACACTGAATTTTCTTCTAATCGGCGCTCCTACCATTTTATTTTTGTTCTTTGACACAACCAGGCAGTAGACTACAACCTATGTCCATTTTCCTCTAAGCTCTTCCCCTCTCTGGCAATCAGCTTGCCATGGACCAATTTCATCTATGAAATATAACAAAAATGATCTTTGAAACTGGATGAACGATGAGTGATTGAACGACACTTTAGTAACATATACTGAACAAGATTTGTTTGTTAGTTTAGACTAGGAAGTATTCTAAATTGTTTTCAAAATATGAAATCTAGTTGTGGTTCGTTATAAGCGGTGTGCGTCAAACTATTAATCTGTAATTGTAAGAATTTTAATTATTATGTTGTTGACTTTTTATTTCGTTTAGAGGTTATTTTCTATTATATAATTGAACTTTTACGATATGAAGAAAGACACCCCCTTGACCAATTTTCTAGCTCCGCCACTGACCTCAAGCCTATAAATAGGAGGAAGAGTTGTCAGAGAGAAGCCCGCAAAAATTACCACTCGACACCACTTGTCAAGTTTTATCAATCTTATCTTTCTTCTGCGAATTTTTATCAGTAGTCGTAGATCTGGAGCTCTCTCAGAACCTCCGTAGGAGTAGGATTAACTTAATGTAGATCTGTCTCGAGAGTCGTGTATACATCGAACACCCTCGTTCGAACTGTGTTTAAAGAGGTGTGAACCGTGTTTAGTGATTGTTGTCCAAAGAAGTCAAAAGTGCAATCAATTTATTTCAACGCAAGTTTTCTCGCCGGAGAACAAATTTTGGCACACCTGGTGGGACGCTTGTGGTCGATTCGATGGCTTTGAGGTGGAGGAATCTGGAATGTGACGTTCCGGCTGGATTCGTGGAGGAGCAGGTGGCCAACATCGAGCATGGCCAAGCGTCTGACGCGGTTGCAGGAGGAAATGGTGGAGCAGAGATCTTGGTGGCGACTGCGCCTGGTGGAGATCTTGGTGAAGCCGTGGGGGCCCTTCGTCTGATGATGGAGGAGAACCGCAAGATGGTGGCTGACACCCATCAAGCCATAGAGGAGAACCGCCAAATGCTGGTGGAGAACCGCCGGATGTTGGAAGAGACTCGGGAAAATACTCATCAGGTAAATTCTCAGATAGACTGTCTCAATTCTCGCCTAGATAGACGTTTCATTCAATTGCTTGAAGTAGTCAACAAAAATGCAAATGAGGTGGATCAACTCCGACAGTCTTTAAGTAGACTAGTAGGGCAGTCAAGAGCTTTGCCATTAGATGGCATAGGCCTAATGCCTACTAATAATGTTCTTTCTCCCGCCGGTGGTCGGAATGGCCAACCACGGCAAGAGAACTTGCCGCCTCAAACGGCAAGCCAACCACCTCCACGTCGAGTAGGTGATGTCGAGATTCCTGCTACAACTCAAGTGGGGGAATCGTCACAGGCACTCGTGGGAGTTGAAGGGCTACCCCCGCGCGGTGAGAATCACGCCACCATGTTCAACACTTGAGTTGAGCAGCAACCCGTGCAAGTGGGTGCTCGTCCCTCTATCCCGGAGGCAAGACCCTACGTGGCTCCCGTGAATTTGGGAGTAGGAGGAGGCCTAGTTGGTAACATGGATCAAATCCCACCTCGAGGCTACCCAACTCCAACGCTACCTCATTTCAATGGGCATGGCATGGACCCCATTGGGTTTGTACCGTATGGGGGGCAACAAGGGGGGCATGAGGCCAACACTCTTAGAGATCAGGTGGCTCAACTCCTCACGGAGCAGTTTGGCATGGGAGTAAGACCTGCTATGCCACCTGTATACCGTAAGCCGTACCCAGAATGGGTAGATAGACTTTACCCGTTTCCAAGGGGATTCAGAGTTCCCGAGTTTGCCACATTCACAGGGACTGGAGATCAGTCCACTGTAGAGCACGTTGGAGGTTTCACCGTCCAATGTGGCGATGTGGGAGATTTTGTTAAGTTAAGACTATTTGGAAACTCGTTGACAGGACCAGCTTTTGCTTGGTACGTCAACTTGTCGTCTAACTCCATCCAGACTTGGCAACAGATGGAACAAGTCTTCCACGCTCAGTTTTACAGATCTGAGCCCGAGGTGTCCATGGCTGACTTGGCACGTATGCGCCAACAGCCAGGGGAATCGGTTGAGCATTTCTTGACTAACTTCAAGAATGCCCGTAACCGTTGCTTTGTTAATTTGACGGAGAGGGAGTTCGTCAAGCTGGCACAAGGGGGTTTGAGTTTTGAACTAAGGAAGAAATTTCAAGATAGGGAGTTCTCGGATTTATTTCAACTCCTGTCTTGTGCTGTGAGGTATGAGTCTCTTCTACATGAGGAAGAGAATCGTAGGAGTGCATCAAGGGGATCATACTTCCCAAACTTAGACTATACCATCAATCATATTGGCCACGAGGCCAATGAGATTGAGGTAGACTTGGCTGAGATAACTCTAGGGAAGCCATATATATGTGCTTCTTTGTATAAAGTTGAAGAGGGACCACAAGGGGGGAGACCCAATCGTGCTCCCATTTAACCGAGGAAGTACTCCTTTGACGTCTCCAAGGCAGATTTGATTTTTGACCAACTCTATAAGGATGGTCAAGTCAAGTTGATGGGGGGGCATGTCTTTCCCTCACCCGAGAAATTAAAAGGGAAAAAGTATTGTAAGTGGCATAATAGCATGTCACATGCCACTGATTCTTGTGTGGTGTTCCGTAATGTCTTGCAGGATGCCATTGATAAGGGACGCATCAAGTTCCCTGAGGCGAAGAAGGATGCCATGTTGGTGGATACTGATCCGTTCCCCAAGGTGCTTGGTGACAACATGGTCAACCCAGACTTCTCCAAAGTCGAATTGCCACGTTTTAAGCTGGTGTTGGATACAACTCCGCCTCGAAGGAGTCCCAATGTGGTTTTAGAGCAAGGGAGCTCGTCGGGGACCAAACAGACCATCCCGGCCGCAATGTTGACTGATGAAGTTGACAAGTTGTGTGCTCGGTGCAAGAAGAGTCTCAAACTTGACGAAGAGAAGCCGAGGCCATCGATTCATCAAAGAATTGGTTTTCCCAACAGGCCAAGGCCGAGGTACCTGCCGTACGAGAGACAGGTGGAAGGAGTGAAGCAACCAGCTTGGGGGCAACCGAGACAATGGGTGGCCCATGCTCCTTTCCAAAAGAGGAGAACATTCAAGATGCCAGATGTTCCACATGGTGGATGGCATACGAATGATTCTCGTCGTCAACAACCAGTAGCAGTGGCTGAGATGACAAGGACCCAAAGAAGAAGGTTCCTTCGCAAGAACGCACAAGCACGTCAAGGCCAATTACCAATGGCTCGTGGAAACATACTGGGTGTGACACAATGGAGGAGAGAAGGTAGTCTTCAACCAAATCTCAAGCTGGTCAACTCCAGGACCACAGGGTTCAAAGTGGGCGTGATAGACAAAGGCAAGCAGGTTCAAGTTCAGAGTGATGTCAAAGCTCGATGAGGGGTTGATGACAATTTCGAAGGAGAAGAAGGCGAATATGAAGATGAGTATGTGGAAGATGATATGCTTGAAGATGATCTTCCCAACTCCAAGTTCAATAGGGGTAACAAAGATGATGAGGAGGACGGCCAAGGGCCTGCTACGACCATCCCATTCGGAAGCTTGCCACCGGTGGTTGTTACTAACTACATACTGCCCATGGTGTTCCAATTCAATGAAAAAGATCGTGAAGGGGATATAGAGAGCGAAGACGTGGAAGAAGCAAATGACGAAGATGGAGCGGTTGCTGAGTTGACTGAGGCATTCGCCCATCTCAAAGCTAGTGATGAGCCATGGAGTGTGAGGATGGCTCGTTTGGGAAGTAGGATAGATCTATCCGTCGAGACGGCAAGGCAAGGCAAGAGTTCTCAACGAATTTTGAGGGAACTCCACGAGGCAGGCCATAGGAACGTTGGTTTGCTGGGAGAAGATGATGGTCGGTACCCATTCTACGTATTGTACCAGGGACCTGAAGCAACATCATCATCGGCTATTGAGAACCCTACATGGGGATCGGGGTTCGAGGAGGAGCAAGAAAGTTCATTGGCAAACGATGAAGGCACACCAGAAGAAGAGGCCGTCATGCATGTAGCCACCTCGAAGGGGAAACAGATTATGAAGGAAACTGCAAGTGATGAGTCAAGCCACTTGGTGGTGTTCAAAGAGCCCGAGCTGAGTATGATAAAGCATTTGAAACCCCTTTACATTAAGGCTAGACTTGATGGTGTGCCCATGTCAAGAGTCTTGGTTGACAACGGAGATGCTGCCAACGTGATGCCAACTCGTATGTTAAGGAAACTTGGGAAGAGCACTGGTGATTTGATTCCTACGGATATCTTTGTTACAAGTTTTAATGGAGGATCAACTTCAGCAAGAGGAATTTTGCCCTGCTTTCTTTGTTGTCGATGGGGTGATAAGTTACAATGCTTTGTTGGGAAGAGACTGGATCCATACCAACAAGTGTGTCCCATCTTCACTTCATCAATGTTTGATGTTCTGGAATGAAGAAGGTGTGGTCGAAGTGGTACAAGCATACGTCAAGCCCTTTGCCGTGGGAGCCAACGTGGCCGAAGCTCCATTATACGATGGAGACTTTGGGCCACTTCAAGTTAGAAGTATGGATGGTGGGTCTTGTACCGTGGTATTCTCAAGTGACAAGGTTTTGAGAAAAGCTTGCATCGATCCACTCTTAGAGATAGTGAGACCATCTATGATATCTCTTGATGGTCCACCTAAAGCTGAAGCAAAAGATGATGATGAGTAAGCCACAACAAGACAAGGTGGCGAGGGAGGCCGAAGTCACGGCCTTGATGGGGAGGTTGGCCATTTATCAGTTCGAACAGAGGCTAGCTTGGGAGGAGCTTGTGTTGGTGGCTGACTGTGTTCCCGAAGAGGATTTGCCTGACGAAGGCGAGGGGCCAAGTATGGCTGAGGAAGAAGAGGATCACATGACTTCTCGTGATATCCTATAAGAAATCAATCTTGGCACTAAAGAGGACCCGCGCCCAACCTTCGTCAGTGCCATGCTCTCTGAGCAAGACAGGTACGAGTTAATAAACTTATTGAAAGAATTTAAAGATTGCTTTGCGTGGGATTATCATGAAATGCCTGGTCTAGATAGAAAGTTGGTAGAGCATAGATTGCCAATTAGTCCTTGTTTCAGGCCTTACAAGCAGCCGCCTAGGCGCTTTGCTTACGAGGTCTTGCCAGAGATAAAGAAAGAAATTGAACGACTGTTAAAAGCTGGGTTCATAAGAACAGCTAGGTATGTGAGGTGGTTGTCTAATGTAGTGCCAGTTAGAAAGAAGAATGGCAAGATAAGAATGTGTGTAGATTTTAGGAATT